TCCTCAGCATCACTACTCTCCAAAGCCTCCTTGAGAGTTGCTGGTTCTCCCGGCATCTCCACCGGAGAGAAGAACGCGAAGGCACACTCCTCGTAGTCACTCTCCTCGTCGTCTCCGACCATCATTGCCGCTCCGGCCAGGGCTGTCTTGCCCTACTTTCCCGGCGCATCATAGGTCAGCCTATTAGGGGGTTGAACTCTCCTCTTCCCCCTTCCTTCCTCCTCAGCTGCAGGGACTTGAAGGCCTTGGCGTTGCTGCGGTGTGGCTCGAATCCGTGGAGCACTCGTAGTACGGGAAGGGAGTGACGGTGCACGCTCGCTCACTTGCTGCACCTCCTCCTCTTCTTCCTCTGCATCATTGGCCTCCTCTCCCCCATTCACAAGGGAGGATTGCCTTGTGGTTGTGCTGCCGCTTCTCAGCTCCAAAGGCAGCTCCACATGCTCCAAACCGGAACTCTTCACCTCCCCAAACCGCACGCCTATCTTCGCCTCATTCTCCGCCTTCCAATCCTTGTACATGAAGTTCTCCATGAACTTGCAGTCCCTGCTCACCAAGAACTTCTTGGTGAATGGGTCCCAAAGAAGCCATCCCTTGCTGTTTTGAGCCATGCCCAAGTGCACGGCCCACACCGCCTTGGCACCAAGCTTGTTGTGCCGAAGATGCTTAGGCACGAGCGCCATGCACATGCACCCGAACACCCGAAGCATATCCACCTTTGGCTTCCTTCCTAGCCACTCCACATAGGGCACCCATTTGTCTGCTCCCACATGAGTCAAGGCTCTGTTCTTGGCCACACACGCGCTCCGCACCGCATCAGGCCAGAAATAGTCGGGTAGCCCGGCTTCAATGAGCAACCCGCGTGCCGCCTCCGTGATTGTGCGGTTCGCTCGCTCGGCGATGCCGTTCATTGCAGGGGAGTATGGCATGGTGAGGGAGTGCCGAATACCATTCTTCTTCAGCCACAACCCAAACTCCTTGCTCAGGAACTCTCCCCCTCGATCGGTGCGGATTGACTTGACTAGACGGTCTTGTTGCCGCTCCACCATCGGGAACCAATCCGTCTTCAACGTTTCAGCCACGTCGCTCTTCTTGGCCAGCACGTACACCCAAGTCATGCGGGTGTAGACATCGACAATGGTGAGAAAGTACTCAGCTCCAGCAGCTCCAAGCTTCAGGGGGCCCACCACGTCCATCACCACCTCATCAAGCGGTGCCTTTGCCGTTGCCTCCGAACTAGGGAACGGAAACCGGGTGAACTTGGCTTGAATGCACGTCGGGCAGCCAAGCACCTCATCGGGCTCCCCCTTCACACGTATGCCAGCAACCATCTCATTCTTCACTAGCTGCTACAAGATGGGCAGGGCCACATGCCCCATGCGCCGATGCAAGGTGAGCCAATCACACTCCCCCGTAGCCGAAGTTGGATTGGAGAATGCCGCGCTCGCAATAGCGCCCCACATACTCTCTCCGTAGTCCTCCTCCGCTGCTGCCTCTGGGTTCTCCTCACCCTTTTGCTGCTCCTTGGTTGCTGCACCACTCTCCTTAGGTTCACTGAACTTGCTGGTCCCTCCAGGTTTGCTCTTCTTGAGCTCATTCTCCTTAGCGCGACCGTTCGCGCCATCGTCGCTACCGACCGCTCCATCCTTGGTGCTGATGCTTGCTGCCACTTGCCTCTCCTTAGGCATAGGGACCACTGGGATCTGCCACATCTCGTTGTAGACATCCCTGTCCTCATGAAGGTCCCAAAGAATTCGATCGCCAAGCCTTGCGGTGTAGGTCTTGGCTCCCTTCGAGTTCGTGTCCATGCCGGCCTTTGCCAACCGCCGCACGGAAATCAGGTTTGCAGCAAGGCTGGGCACCCAAAGCACGTTCTTGAGGCCCACCATCTTCCCATCAGCACCCTTGAACATGGCCTTGCCCATGCCTTTCACCTCTGCTCGCTGCCCCAAAGCCGATGTGACATGCTTCACCGGTGACGGCTCGAGTTCGGTGAGCAAGTCCGGGCGAGGTGTCATGCTATAGGTAGCGCCACTATCAATCACCCAATAGTCCAGGGGGTGTAGGGTCACCTTCCCCACAGCTGCTGGCTCCTCAAAGCCTTCATCCTTCTCTGGACCAGCCGGTACTTGCGTCGACACGAAGTAGAATAGACCCGGGTATCGATCGTCGCTCGGGTCCTTGTCGTTGTCTCCGCTCTTCATGTTTGCAGCTCCGCCACCGCGACCGCCACGGCCTCCACGGCCTCGTCCTCTCCCTCCTCCTGCTCCTCTACCCTCTTGGCCTTGAGCAGGGGTCCAACCATCAGGGAGTTTGTAGCAGTCGCGCCACATGTGTCCGCTCTTGTGGCAATAGTGACACTCGCCGTCGAATCGGCCGCGACCGCGTCCGTAGCTCTTGTCGTCGCTGCCGTAACCGCCACTCCTGCGGCCTCCGCCGAAGTTGCTGCCACCAAACCTTCCTCCCCCTCGTCCTCTGCCTCTTCCTCGACCATATCCACGGCCGATGCTCGCTGCCCCAGCGCCATCCGCACTCGCCAACTCACGGCGGCGGAAATCCTCTTGAAGGATAGCTCGCTTCACGTCTTCAAGCGAGAGGCGGGGCAAGTCGCGATTAAGGTTGATGATGAGCGAGGACCATGACTCTGGGAGTAAGGCCAGCAACTTGGTCTTCTTTTGGAGCTCACTGTAGTTCAAATCAGCTCCCTCAAGCCGCGTCAACAAGTCGAAGAATTTCTGCACCCCTTCTTCAACCGCTTCGTCTTCTTCAATTCGTAGTGCCGCCATTTGCCGTTCCAACACCACCGCTACCGCCGCTGTTGCAGGAGCATGTACACCCTTGAGAGCAGCCCATGCCTTTGGTCCTTTCTCTGGTTCACGCTGGAATGGCTTGATGTGACGGATCTGACTGCTCCCCAACGCTTGCCCAAGTAAGAGATAGCCTTGTGCGCTCTTCCGCACCCACGGGCTCTTCTCCGGGTCGTTCTCGGGGCGCTTCTCCGTTCCTTCCATCACCTCCAGCAGGTCATAGTGGTCAAAGATGTTCTCCATCTTGAAGGACCATTCAGCAAAGTTGTCACCGTTGAACTTGTCAAGCCCAAACACCCTAGGCTCATCCCTAGGTGGGCCAAGACTTGGTTGCATGGGCGCCATGGCTGAATCACGGGGTTGGCCTTGAGCTTGAGCTTCTCCACTGCCACCAGCACCTCTGCCACCCCTTTCCTCAGGTCCAGACATTGTCGAAACTGCTCCAAGGGGCTCTGATACCACTTGTTATAGTCACAATAGGCTTGAATGTGCCTAAAACGAAAGATAGAGAGCACAGACGGATTTCTGCACAGCGGCTTCAAACGTTGATAGCGTTCTGCTCACAGCTGCAAATGACTTGATTCAAATTGGATCTGGGGCGTCTTCATGTCGTCTACAATTAGCAATTTAGATTGCACGATTTGATAAAGAATTGACGACACAGCGTCGGTTTGAACGAACGGTACTATGGCAGCCACTATAGTCTTAGAACACAAGATAGGAAGAGTTACGAGTTGGGAATGACTCCCAGCTCCTACAAACCCCAAGAGCCGAGGTACAGTGATGTGGAACAGTGCCACACTGTCCCCAACCACGAAGGGTCTCGAAACTACCCTTCACTAGGGCCTACACCAAGTGAAATGTTACACTACACAAAGTAATGTAACTATCTTCAATATCTTGAGGTGTACCCTTTTGGCAAGCTTCGAAATCACTTGAGGCTTGACACCAAGGCTAGGGCTCTTCATCACAAACTCATCCTTGAGTTCTTGATGGGTCTGCTGCACACACCTGCGACACGCCGAACGTTCGACACAAGACAAAATAGAAACCGCGCACGACAAAATAGAAACCGCGCGCGAGACACAAACGACCGCGTAACACGCGTCTAGCGATAACTCGCTATTGACTCGACACACACACTCGACATCATGACTCAACATTCACACACAATTATAAGCATGAAATATATATTATCCCATGCCCTCATACCATTCCATACACACACACATTCACGCACACGGACAACAAGCCGAGTGCAAACCGTAGGGTTGCACCAACACTTTGGCGGCGAGAACGACTGGTGTCATTTTGTGGCCTTTCGTCTGTTGGGGGAAGAAAGACTGCTACTATCTACGAGGGACGGGCGCTAACAAAACGAGATTAGGTCGGTGAGGACGACGGGGGAGAATGACGTCTCCAGAGGCGGCGAGCGTGAAGGAAACCTGCGTTCAGTGCTGTTTCCGAGAAGAAGCCTGGTGAAGAGACGTTGCACCAGGCAGGTTCGAGACGTTGCACCAGGCAGGTTCGAGACTGCGAGCTGACGCCTCCTGCGGCGAAGTTCCAGGAGTCACGAAAGGTGGGTGTGGGGGAGGGAGACGGGCGAGGGTGGAAGAGAGGCGCGCGGGGAAGATAGCAACCAGAGGATGGAACTACTACGAATAGGATTCAGCGATGCAAGCGCAGACGCAGAATTCGTAGTGTCCAGGTAAATTGGAGACGGATTCGGGTGGGAGGGCTGGTGGCAGTAGTGTAAGAAAGGTGGCAACTCCCTGAAACAGAGAGCATGGGAGCAGAAAGGTGAACAAACCTTTCAACCGTTTTCAAATGCAATTCCTCGCCGAGAACCTTACCAAACTGAGGGAGGGCAGCCACACATACTTGGTTGGTGGTGTGGCGTGAGCAGGGAAGTGGAGGGGGAGGCGAGGCGAGTTGGGCAAGGCGATGGTTGTGCGCCGCCCACCACGCTCGGACGACAGCTGGTGTTGGGCTGGCGACGCGCACCAACCTAGGTGAATGGGCGGCCTTCTGATTAATTTCAATGCAGAAGTGTACATTTAGCCTTAATTCACAAGTCAAATCATGAATGAAAATACTAAAAAGTGCTCTCTCACTCCACAATAACCAATTTCCACAGAAAGCATTTCTATTGACGACCTCTGTTGTTTCCTTACCTTCTAATCCTCGAAGAAATACCTATCCCCAACCTCCCCCCATGCCCCCATCTCCAGGCCTGTCCATGCGATAATTCCCGTGCGGCCCTGCATGCCTCGAAGGGGGAAGTGGAGGCATGTTATACCCCGCCATACCACCTCCATCCACTCCTCCCCCCATCCCAACCCCTCCCATACTTCCACCCATCATCCCCCCTCCCATACCTCCTCCCATTCCCCCACCCATCCCTCCTCCCATCCCTCCTCCCATGCCCCCTCCCATTCCCCCTCCCATGGCACCACCAGGGCCACCAGCAAAAGCACCCAGCCCCCCTGAAGAGGGCCCTTGGGGGAAGAATTGCCCCCCTGCAAAGGCACCTCCATCTCGCGCCATCCCTCCCATACCTCCTCCCATTCCTCCCATTCCTCCTCCCATGCCTCCTCCCATGCCTCCTCCCATGCCTCCTCCCATGCCTCCTCCCATGCCTCCTCCCATGCCTCCTCCCATACCTCCTCCCATACCTCCTCCCATGCCTCCTCCCATAATGCGGGAATTCTGAGCTTGCTGGTTCTGCTGCTGCTGCTGTTGGTGGGAGGGCGAGGGGGAAGAGGGAGGGTAGGAGGGAGTGGGTGGTGTGGCAGGCAGGTAGTTGGCAGGGAGAGGGGGCATGGTGGGGGGGCGGACAGGGGCAGGGGGAGAGGAGAATTGGGGTGGGAGAGATGAGGGCGCGGAAGGGAAGTGAGGAGGGAGGGGAGGTTGCCGGGTGGATTGTGGGGGGTTGGGAGGGGTGGAAGGGGTGGGAGGTGGAGGGAGAGGGGGACGATTGAGAGAGGGAGAAGGGAAGCCAGAATGAGGAGGATTAGGGGGAGTGGATTGGAATGTATTGCTGCTGGGAGGGAGAGGAGGGTGGGATGGAGAGTGGGTGTGCGAAGAGAAGAAGGTAGAGGAAGGGGAGGAAGGATGAGCAGACAGTAGAAGGGGGGGTTGAGAGAGGGTAGGGGGGCGGGGGACAGGAGGAGGGTTGGGTTTGGAGGAGAGGTTTGAGGGAGCGAGTGAGGGAGGTGGAAGGGGGCGGGAGGGAAGGGATGAAGGGGGAGGCGGAAGTGGAGGGTGCTTCTGCTGTTGTTGCTGTTGCTGCTGCTGCTGTTGCTGCTGCTGCAGTTGCATGGGAGACAATGAGGGTGCAAGCGGGGCAAAGCTGCCTGAACGAGCAGATTCTGGAGGAGAGGGAAGAGGGGGCGTAGCAGAGTGCAGAGGGAGGGGTGGCTGGCGCGCGGGCGGCGGGAGGGGAGGGGGGAGGGAGGCTGGGGCGTGTGGGGAAGCAGGTGGGGCGTGGGGGGAAGTGGAGGGCCTGAGGGCAGCAGGTGAAGGGGGGAGGGGAGCAGCAGTGGGGGATGCCCGCCCTGCACTGAGTGTGCCTCCACCAGCTGCACCCGACCCCACTGCCCCAACTGCTCCCCTTTCACCACCCCCGGATCCCCCAACCCCTCCTCCCCTTGCTATTCCTCCGCCCCCTCCTGCCTTTCCTCCGCCCAGCCTCCCACCACCAACACCGCCAGAGGGACTCGCAGGGACCCCAGCAGCGGCAGCAGTTGCACCTGCTCTACTCGGCCCAGACCCCCCAACCACCCCACCTGAACCTCCCCCTCCTCCCCCTGCTCCTGCTCCTCCTGTTGATCCCGCTCCTGCTGCTCCGGCTGCTAATGCCGCTGCCATCGCTGCTGCTCCTGCTAGCCCTGCTGTCGCCCCTGCCACTGCGACTGCCTTCCCTCCCCCATCCGCCAACACTGACCGCCCAAAGCCCTGCCCATGCCACCCCTCTTCATGCCCCTCTTCCCCTCCCTCCGCCCCTCCCATCGCGCATATACTTTCAGGCGAGGTGGCGGGAGTGAATGAGGGAGGAGTGGGGAGGAGGAGGTGGGGGTGGGAGGGGTGGGGGGCGATCGATGGGTGGGCGGAGCGGGTGTGGGAGGAGAGTAGGGAGAGGCGGGGGAAGGAGAGGAAGCAGTTGGGTGCAGCGCAGATGTAGAGGCCTCCTTGGTAGGCGGAGATGGGGTGCACTGCTGTGATAGGCGCCAGGCACCTGGTGGGAGGGAGAGAGGGAGGGAGGGAGGGAGGGAATGAGGGACGGAGCGAGGGAGGGAGGGAGGGAGAAATAAGAGTACGGATGGGCATGGGGGGCAAAGGAACAAGGTGTAGCAGTTGGGTGCAGCGCAGATGTAGAGGGTGCTGGGAGGACGGTATGGTGAGGGGATGCGTGAGGGGGTGGGTGAGGGATGGGTGAACAGATGGGGAGGGGAGGGGAGGATGGTCACGTCACGGGGATGGGGAGGAGGAGAAAGGAAGAAGGTTGTGACGGATGGGCTGCTATGCGTGGATTCTTCCATAATAGCAGCCCCTTCCAGCACCCTCGCACTTTGAACACGAGCCGTAACGCTTGGCAGGTATGTGCCGTCAGCACCCCACTGTTCCTTCTCCAAGTTTGCGTCTTTAATCATATTCCACCAACTCAAGAGCGCGGCCCTGTTGCTCCGTATAAATTTTATCTCCTCATCACTTAAAATGTGTCGCACCATAGAAACCATCCGCGCGATGGTTCTAGAAGATGCCGGCTCTATTGTATGGAGTACGCGCGTTATAGCAGACCACGTGCTCGCCTCCACCCAAGTTTGAAACTCCCTCCCAGGTTTCTGCTTCGGTGACACATGTACCGTCGAAAAAATATCGCCATTATTGTCAACACAGAAAGCATGACCCCGAAGTGGCTCCACAGAATGGCTGTGCACGAGCATCAACTTACAGTCGCATGCTGCTGCCACAGCACGATCCCCACCATTTCCACCATCCCCACCATCCCCACCATCCCCATCATCTCCAAATGGCTGCACCGGAGGAGAATCACTCCACAAGAACAAAAAACCGCCCCTTGCACTGGAGGAGATTCTTCGCCATGCGTGCTTGCCACGCACACACACACCCACAATGGCGTTGGCGCTCTGGAAAATGAGCGCCAAGCAACAAAACACTTGACGAGCATTTTGACACCAAACGCTCCGCAGCCTTTTTTTAATGCCTCACTGTAAACATTTTGCACAAACATTTTCACGTCGAAATTTCGACTCGAAGTCTCGACATCCAAAAGCCGCTTGACAAAAAAGCACCCCCAAACCAAACCAACTAACATTTCCGCCCCCAAATGCTTTGAACACCGCACAACATCGACAAAACCCAACCCACGCACAGCACAACACAAAAATCTCATGCTACAAACTCCAACTCGCCATTGAGGCTTCTGTTTTTTCTCAACCAGCAACTATTACTGCAACCTAAATCGCCATAACAGCCACTTCGCATGCAATTATGCCCCGAAACCAATGCGAGGGCGGACCTTTTTTGCCTGTTTGTTTTAGCTGCCCGCGAAAGCATTTTTGCAGCTAGAAAAAAATCGCTGGACTCGCAAAGCTCTGAACGCTAACGGGCTGGCATGCAGCTCGCCTCGCCCTCTTGCAGACTTGCACCCACCCTCATGTGCACACCCACAGAGCAGCCAGGAGGAACGAGCTGCATGCCAGGCAGGCGGGCGTTAACCCACAGGTGGGGATGAGTCTCCTCCAGTGCAAGCTCTGAACGCTAACAGGCTGGCTGGCATGCAGCTCGTCTCACCCTCTTGCACCCACCCACCCACAGGTGCACACCCACAGGTGCACACCCACAGAGCAGCAGCTAGGCGGGCGGGCGTTAAGGGGCTGACATGAAGGGGTTTAACAGGGTAACGGGGCTGACCTGTAGCAGGCTTTGAGCGCAGAGGCACACTTGAGGCAGAATGCGTGCGTGCATGGCTCCTGGTGGCGGGGATGGATGGGGATGGAAGGATAGAGACACACTTTGAGGCAAAAAAAATGCATACGAGAATTGAGAAGGTATGAAACCGAAGCAATCAGCTTGAGGGAGAAGGCGTGTGAGCAGGACTCCTGGTAGTGGGGGTGGGATGGATGAATGGTATCAGTATGCATGGGGGGATGGAAAACGCACAAGCAGAAAAAAACACTCAAATGGAAGGCGTGTGAGCAGGGATCCTGGTGGTGGGGGAATGGATGAGCGGTGAGCTCAAGATAGAGTGGGCATGGACCCGGAGGAGCATGGACCCGGAGGAGCGGAGCATGGACCCGGAGGAGCATTCAATCAAACCTGCATGACCAAACAGCCAAACCCCGACTAGCCCATGCCAAACCGCTTCGTTTTCGACCCGAGCCGGGCCTTTGCTTTGTCTGGTCGGCCTGGGTCGGGCCGAGCTGGGTTCGACCCGGGTGAACTGACAAGGTTTGACTTTGCGGAAAATCGAACCGGGCCGGCTCGACTCAAGCAGCGGCCAAACGGAAATCTTGCGCAGCCCGCCCAGAACAGATTGCGACAGATTGCGCGAGGGTGGTTTTAGGACCATGCGACTAAAGGCTGGAGCTAAAATTTTAGCTCGAGTCTTCACCTTTCTGGCCAGCCAGTCTCTGACCTCACTCCCCACCAAACTACCATGTTTGTATGATTGATTGGTTTCCAATAGTTAGTGAAACTAGCCACCCATACATACCTACGGAGACTACAACGAAATGGCCCGGGCTGAACTCAAACCGGCCCGGCCCGAGCCAACTAAGGTTCGACCCGAACCTCCATTGGCCCGGCTACGCTTGGGGGAACTTGAACGCACGGCCTGCTTGGCCCGGTCATGCCATCGGCCCGATTAAGCTTCGACCCAGGCTGGCTGGGGTTCAACCGTGCTCACGCATAATTCAAAAGAGAGAGCGATGAGAGTGAGGAGCGAGCGTAGAGGTGAAAGAGTACGGGTGCGGAGGTGACAGAGGAGGGTGGACGGCAACCCACCACGCTGGCGTAAGAGGCGATGATGGGGGGAAGAGGGGGAGGGAGATGGGGGGGCGGGGAGGGGAAGGTGGTCAGGTCATGGGGGGACGTGCCATGGCAACTCACCAGATGGCCAGTGGGGAGGTTTAAGGTTTTATTTAGGTCGTAACCTGTTAGCCAGTGGGGAGAGGTGCGCGAGGCAGTGGGGGGAGGCCGGGGGGAAGTGGGGATGGGGGGTGCGTGGGATGGGAACTCACGAGACGGCCATAGGAGGCGATGGGGAGGCACGTGTAGAAAGTAGATTTTTGAGACGTCTCAAAAATCTACTTTCTACACGCACTTGGCGCAGAAGTGCAGGCGGCTGCCCGTGCGGCACACCACGTGGTAGTGCGGTTGAGAGCGGTGGTGATGGGGGGACGTGCCGGGGGAACTTACGAGGCGGCCGTAGGAGGCGATGGGGAGGTGAGCGAGGCAGTGGGGGGAGGCCGGTGGGAAGTGGGAATGGGGGGTGCGTGGGATGGGAACTCACGAGTCGCCCGTAGGAGGCAATAGGGAAGTGGCACTTGGCGCAGAAGTGCAGGCGGCTGCCCGTGCGATGGAGGTGATGGGGGCGCTGGGGAGGGGTGGGGGTGGGGGGGGGGGGGGGGGGGGGGGGTTTGAGAGGCGATGGGGGCCGTGGAAACCTACCAGGCGGCCGTAGGAGGCGATGGGGAAGTGGCACTTGGAGCAAAAGTGCAGGCGGGTGCCAGTGCGGCGCACCACACGGAACCCCTCCACTCGCACTCCCCTCACCTCCCTCTCCCTCACTGCCCTCTCCGCCTCCATCATCTCCTCCTCCCCCTCCTCTTCTTCTTCCTCTTCCTCCTCCTCCACCTCCTCCTCCCCCTCTTCCTCCTCCTCTTCCTCCTCCTCTTCTTCCTCCTCGTCTTCTTCATCCATCCATCCATCACCCTCCTCCTCCACTGACTTTGACCGCTCTCTTCCTTCCCACACCTCTTCTCCCTCCTCACTCTCCTCCTCCGCCTCCTCTCCTTCCTCCTCATCCGCCTCCTCCCCTTCCTCTTCCTCCTCCTCTTTATCCGCCCCCTCCTCCCTCGTCTTTTCTGCATTTTGTCCCTCCCTTTCCTCCTCCCGCTCCTCCTTCCCCTCCCCCTCGTATTCCTCTCTATCGATCTCGTCTTCTCCATAATCCACCTTTTCCTCCTCTTCCTCTTCCTCCTCCTCCTCCCCTTCCCCACCCGCTTCCTTCCCTTTCTCCCCTGCTTCCGCTGCGCGCTTCTCTGTCCCCTCGTCCCCGCTCTCTCCGCTCTCTTCGTCTTCGCCGAATCGCTCTTCTCGCCCCTCGTCGCGCCGCGCCACCTCGGCCTGCTCGATGCGATCCATCTCCCTCGTCAGCCGTCGCTCACTCCTCTTCGCTTTCGTCGCCATCGTCGTCGCCGCATCGCCATCGTCGCGCACCGCGGCGACTGTATCCGCCGCCAGTCGTCGTTTCACTCCGCCCATCGTCGCCCGCTTGGTGTTCCCCGCGCCAACCTGCTATCGAATCTGCGCGCACACTGGCGGGGAATAAGGAAGCGGAACTTCACACCTGCAGTCAAGCCAACCCTGCTATCGAGTGTCCACGCTCTCGAGCACGCGCGCGAACAAGGAGCAGCGATGCGCCCGGGCGAGAAGGGACTGGCGTTTCACATCCGCTGCTGGTTCAGCCACGAAAGGTTAACATACAGGGACGGAGCAGACAACAAACCCACGGGACAAAAACGCCGCGCATGAGTGTGCGGGTTTTACAAATGAACTGAAATGCACTTAACCTACAGAATTTGCTAAGAACGTCTAAAACTAGGATAGATTCGAGTTAGGCGAGGCTCGGAAAGGTGCCAACAGGTGTGGTAGCGCGAAAACGTAGGCGAGAGCCTCGGAACTAAAATAAGGGTACATTCCTGCGGGGACACTTGTGTCTCAATCACTTTGTGACATCTAAAAACAGCATATACCGTGCCCTGTCACAAAAGCGGATCGCGCTTATGCGAGTCCCACTGTATTTTACATTGGTTGGCGTGAATTGCGCTTGTGTCGCGGACGAGTTACACGAGGCCCCGTCACATCCCGAAAATCGCACGCGTGTCGAAATCTCACACTGTACAGCATGCACCTGGACGCCCGAACTGGGCACGTTTCCGCGCGGGGATGGAAACCGCTCTGCCCGGGCTGACATATGACTGGTCCTTCAGCACACACGGTCACATCCCTGCCCGAATGTTTGCCCATCGTTCCAACCACACTGACAGCACTCTCCCGCTCCAATCTGTTCTTCTCCCAACCCGAGCTTCCTCTTTCTTGTTGCGAAGTCTAGCCAGGGTCTTCTTTGGCACGCTGTAGCCATGGCCCGTAAGCGCAAGAGCGTAGCTAGTTCTGTTGACTTGTGCCCGCGGGATCTCGACGAGATCCCGTACATCGCTTGGATGAACAAACAAATCGCGGCCGGCCGCAAGCCCGCCGGCCCTTTGCCCGAAGGAGCGCCTGGTGCGGGGGACACCTCGTTCGAAGCCCCGCGCGATGTCCCTACCCGCGGACGCCGTCATGCCGACCGGGTTGCCTCATCCCGCGTCAACGACGATGCTGCCTTCGATGACGATGATGACGCCGCGGACTCTGATTACAACGAGTGCGACGAGGCCTGCGAAGACGACGCGGACTCTGGCGAGGAGCAGGACAAGGGCATGTCCCCCTCCGAGGATGAAGTTGACGCCGACGAGGACGCCGATGACGACGAGGACGCTCCCGAAGAGGCCCAGCCTGCGTCCCCGGCTCCTCGTCGCGGCCGTGCGTCTGCCGCTGCGGGAACCAAGACTGCTGCTAAGGGCGGGGAACCTCCGCGTGCCGCTGCCAAGACCCGTAACTTGCATCCTGTTAAGCGGAGCGTGTGGTCCCCCCGCGAGAACACAATCTTCGTGGCTGCGCGTTGGTTCATGAAGGACGAGCTCGGGCCCCTCCTCGGGAAGCATGGCTCTCAGTACTGGGCCCGCCTCGCGCGTCACCTCGAGAAGGAGAATCCCGGTTGGGTGCGCGGTGTAAACGCGCTTCAGAAGCAGTGGCGCAATCTTGTGAACATGTACAAGCAGATCAAGAAGGGGGAAAAGGCGAGCGGCAAGGGTGCCGTGTGCAAGCCCCACTGGTACCCGTACATGGCGCTTTTCCAGAACAACAAGGCGGTGGGCAACCCTCACGCCGTCGACGGTGGCGGTGCGGCACACGTCAACGTGCCGTGCGGGTACGCGGTCCCGTCCACTTCGGCGCCCTGCACCTCTACGCCGACATTCACTGGTATGTATGTGTTGCATCAACGGTGGCACTCGCGGGTTTGTTGAATGACACATTTTGTGACAACATTTTACGCACACATTACATCATTAAAATGTTTAGGGTACATAACACCTCGTCTACTGTTCGTGTGCATCCACCGTGTGTGCAGCTCCGCCGCCACAGGGAACTCCTACATCGAAGCGCCCACGTGTGGCAGAGACGGCGACGATGGCCGCTGCAAAGCTGGTGTGCGAGACGATCAAAGGCTGCCACTCAGACGCCATGAGCAGCCTCGAAGGCCTCGTCCGTGCGTGGATGGATCAGGACGCGCGTATTGCTCGGGAACGCGTGCAGCAGCCCGCACCCTCCCCGCATGTCCGCGACGACATCCCTGCCCACGCGGACAACATGACCGACTCGCACGCCGCCGAAGGCGGCGACGACGGCTGGCTTCGTCGCGGGCAGGCGGGCGAAGACCCCTCTAACCCAGATGCGGGTGAGGAGGTGTGGGTCCGCGGCGCCGCCGAGTGAGGTAAGACGACTCCAGAGCCTCGCCCAGCCGCTTGCGCCTTTCACGAAGATTCTCTTGCGTGCATGGGTCACATGGCTCCCACATGAACTCTGCTACCGCGCCACGAGTCCACCATGGGTCCCGGTTTCGGGGCAAGTTTGCCCACGATGCATTGACGCGCCTTACTGTGCCCATCATTTCGCACATGTTGTGCAGGATGACGCCACAAGACGCCCCTGCAAGAATGCGCCAGAGCTTGCAGTCATTGCGGCCCGCGAATAGACGCCACCGGCCTTTGAAGGCGCCGATGCAGCGCTCTACTGCCATGCGCGTTGCGCTTTGGCAATAGTTAAAGCACTGCTCCCAGTCCTCCATTAGGCCTTCACAGGGAGCATGTAGGGGGGTCAGGCAGAAGTCTCTGAATGGGTAGGCAGCATCTCCCACTATTTGGTATGGCGCTATGTCGCCGTTGTACAACCTTTCGTGTAACGCGCTGTTCATGAACACTCTCTGATCGTGCGCACTGCCCGGGTATCCGATCAAATAGTCCCATATGATGCCTCGCGCGTCGCATGTGATCTGCAACTGGACGGCGTAACAGGACTTCCGCGTGTAGTACTCTTGCCTGTGCCCCTCCATCCCCTTCATGGGTATGTGTGTGCCGTCTATAGCCCCCACTACCGCAGGTACCCCCTTGATGGCGCGGAACTCTGCGGCCATCTCGTCGAGGTCGTCGCGGGTCGGGAAGTGAACCCACTGCTGCTTGAAGACGGACGGGAAATGCATGAGGAGCGCGTCAACAAGCATGTGGCACAGGGTCTTGGACAGCCCGAACACGGAGGACAAGTCTACGAAAGACATGCCACTTGCGAGGTATTTGATAGGTACAAGGCATGCCACTTCATGACTGATTAGGTACCTGTCCACGTACGGTTGCATGTAGTGCGTCATCCCGGCGACAATGTATTCGAGAATGCCACGGTTTATGCGAAACATATCTCTGAACTGATCCTCCCCCATGCCGTCCAGGTCCTCTAGCAGCAACTGGTATCTCCGCCGGCGTAGCCCAGCCCTTCGTTTCCGCTCTGCGGTACGGTTGGAGGCGCGAGAGCTGGATGACGAGGACACCTCGTCATTGAAGACGTTCGCCTCCAGCAAGCCACCGACCGACTTGGCGATGGCGTCCATGAATATGCTGTAGTAGAATGTAACCCATGCGACAAGTAGGCGCATGAGGAATGGCACCTCGCGAGGCGATGCCATGGTTGCTAGACAGTGGTGCAGTTTAGCTCTGTGATGCTTGCGTTTTTGTACTTGGAGCCGTGGTTGTATACATGCTGTTGTGTGTGGGGTGGCCCAAATTGCAACTTTCATTTCTGTGGCAAGCCCACCGCGATACTCGAGGTGGTGCGATATGTTTAGCCCCCCTGCCCGGCGGGAAAACTGGGTGGGCACAATCCTATTGGTCGCAACCAATAGTACGCACCCACCTAGCTGTGCCCATCTGTCGCGCAGGGTCGCGATACATTGGTTGTTTGTGACACAACATTTGGCAAATTTACAGGCGCGACTCGGGAAAACGGGGATAGAGACACAAGTGTCCCCACAGGAATGTACCCTAAGCATCAATGTTACGGGTGCAAGGAATCTAGGTAGCGAGAATTGCATTAAGGTGTCATGTCCCTTAAGAAAGTGTCGCTTGTGACGCGTACTTACAGCATATGTTGCCATGTGTCGTCAAATGTAATTTCGATTGGATGACGCAACCCACGGAACTGTCGCCGGCTAATTGGGTGCCAGCGCGACAAGGACCTGCCATCGCACGCGGTCCCAAATGTCAATCCCATCCGCATGTACCTGGACATATTGGGACAGTTCTTTTTCTCCCACCGAACGCGTACCACGAAGCGGGATTGGTCAATCTAGGTTCTCTCGCACTTATTGACAATCCCCCGCATGCCACGCTCGCACATCTCCTGCCGATGCCCAATACGCGTTCCCCGCTCACCCCTACTCTTCCGCCCTTCGTTCACCGCGATGTCCCATTTCTCTCCTCAATCAAACCTCTGTCCTTGCAGTCTGAACTAGTGTGTCCCAGCTAGATCTAGAAATCCGCATGCTGTCGCCATGCCTCGGAAGCGTAAGGGCCAGGACCGTGACGACTGCCCCAAGGACCTCAACGAGATCCCTTACATCCGATCGATGAATAAGCAAATCGCCAACGGCCGTCATCCCACCGGATTATCCGCTCTAGTTGCGCTAGACCCTCAGGGTTCTAGTGCACAAATGCCCCGTGCGGGTCCGTCTTGCGTGCGCCGTCAGCCTACCAGGTCCGCCGCCGTCCAACGGCCAGTATATGAGCTGGAGGAAGAGGAGTCTGACTCAGAGTACCGCGGCGATGCAGTCGGCACTGACGATGACGACGACGACGAGGATTATCTAGGAATGTTAGAGGACGAAGAAGGTGACAACGAGGACGACGACGACGTCGCGGAAGAAGAAACGCAGCCCGTGACACCGCCACCTAAAAGGAACGCCAGCAAGACAACCAGCGCTGTGAAGCGGAAGG